GCAAAACAAAAACATTTATGCTTCAAGGTGATCACAGTACAACCATGCACCAGTGCACTTGTGGAAAATGTGTCACATTAGACCAGAGATTTAATTAATTTGACATTAAGACATTTGACATTATGAGCAAATGCCAAAAGATTTAAAGGTTTGGGGCTCTTCTTGTTCTTCTGTTTCCTGTCTCCTTGCAATGTAAGAAAACAAAGACTGAAGTATAGCTGTTCAAAACTGAGAAATTAAAGAAAAATCAAATTCATGATTCTCACAGGAATCATACTACGACACTGCAAATACATGCTAAGTCATAAGATGCAATTTCTTTAAGAGCAAAATAACGTATGTGCTAAAGAGATGAAGCTATGATACGTAACAGAAATAGTATCCGATTCCAATTGAGGACTGATTTCTGATTAGTATATACTATCTTTGTACTCTTCTAAAGAAAGATTCATTTCAACAAATCTATCAATGACAGTAATAATTATTATGATAATTATTTAATAACAGCAGTTCTGTATCCACTACATATTAAATTTATGTATCCGTTTCTTCCTCTGACTTGTGTTCTGGATGTCTTGCAGGAACAGTGTTCAAATATGCTGAAACATAATGAAAAAAAAAAATTGCTGAAACCAGGTAAAATAATTTCAAAATCACTACTGCAAGAGGAAAAAAAAATAGATGTAGAAGGCTGCAGATCTTGTCTGTGTGATCAATACAGAAACACAAAGTAAACAGTTACAGTAAAGTGACTATATAAAAAGAAATAACTTATTTTTTTTCATCCCCAGAAATAGCTCAGCTGCTGATTAAATTTTTATGCCAAGATTCATAAGAGAACAATTCTTTTTTTGAGTCATCACCGATGGGCAACTGGATACGAGATTTCACTAGCTTGAAGGCAATTCCCTTTGTACTCTATTAAACAATCATGAGGACATACTGGTTTCTAAGCTGCCTGACACTTAGTGATTTATGTTCCTTCGTCCTAACCAAAATTACAGCCTATTACTATTCATAAAGCAGCACAAGCTTGTTTAAATGACTACATGTTATTAGAAACGAATGTAGTCTTTGGATAAAAAAAACTGGTTTCTAGACATTTTCTATTGTGGTTGAAAATACAAGCTCAATCATGTAACGTCTCCTGGTAGCAGGTAGGCAACGTAGGAAGCTTACTTCGTATTAGTGTATTATTTTAGTATTAGCTTTTTGCCCTGACATTTTCTGCATGTTTACATATTCAACCAACATTTTTAACAGTTTAACAAGCAGGATTTTGAACACATCAGCCTGATAACATATATTTAAGGCATAAAAGGACTTCCATTAACTTCAAGAGCCTTTAACTGTGACTTTCAAAGAAACCTCTGGGAAACAGGAGCCCTAATTCCATTAAAAACATCAATGAGGAACAGGTGCCCAAGTGCCTGAAGTTGCTTTGGACATCCCAACATGACCGCCTACAACACTACACTAAATAAAAATGTTCTTTTCTGAGGACACAAGCACTTCCAAGTTATATTAACTTGGAATTAAAGGGAAACCCCCTTAAAAAGCATGTAGCCCTTTAAGATAACTTCTATGCAAGCACCACGTCACACACTGATCAAGGTAAAAGTACACAGTAGTTCTGGGATAGTATGGACTACCAATGGGGTTTTTACCATTTCACTGGTAGTGAATGAATCACACATGCATAAATATCCTCACAGAGTCTTTGACCTGTGCTTCCACCATGGTTTTCATCTCCTCAAGTAACAGCAGGGTGTTGCTTCGCACCTCACCTATTTTGCAAACACTGCTTACAGCAGCCACCGTTCCCTGGCACTCAGCAGCTTGACATCAAGAAGTAATGACATTTGGAAGTTGCCAAGATCAAAGAAGGAGCAATAAGTAGTACTGCATTGGCAAAGTCGGTAAGGTAGAACCTTTAAATGATGAGTAGAAAAGTATGTTGCCAATCTAGCAACAAGAACCGGATAGGAATAGGACAGATAGACCCACCATTAGGATTGTATTGTTGTGTCCCATTAGAGCAAGACCGAAGCCACCAGCAATGAAACCACGACTAGCATCCACCTTAGAAGCGCTTACTAGCGTTACGCGGACTGCCGCTGGCCAACAGCTCCGTTTGCAGAGAGCAGCAACACGAAAACACACGGGGTCTCTGGTCCTGCGGACTTGGGTATCCGCTTCGGCAGAAGAGTTCACAGCACACTGGAAGGTTAGAGATTGCTTCCTGGTTTTCAGCATCAACTAAAGGATGTACAAGGCATTTTTTTGTTTGGTGGGGGGTGAGGTGGGTTTTTTTGCCTTGTCTCTTGCAGGCAAGGTTTGTCCCAAGTAACACGTGACAATAACAGAGAAGACAGAGAAGTACATATGGCGTGAAAAAGCACCAGAAGAGAATGAACATGAGCTTGTGATACTCAGGCTTTCAAACCAGACACCTAACAACCAACT